AATATAATTAAACTAAAAAAATATTATATAATAAATCTAATTAATAAATTATATAATATGTAAATAAAGATACATAGACATCATGTGTACGTATTTGATAATTGCAAAGAAAAGATTAAAAATTAAATAAAATTTTTAATTAATCTTAAATTTTATTTAATTGTCAACAACTCAATTGTCAAATATGGTTATATATTATATATAATTTTAATTTTATGATTACATATTATATACAATTTTAAATTTCATTGAATTTTTAGCTCCCCTGAAATTAAATTTAATATCTTATAAAATTCTATACATATACAAAGTATGTATACGCATTAATATTGTAATTGATTTTATCATAAATAAATGTATGTATAATAATATTACATACGTAATATATAATTTATGTGAACTATGTCCAGGTAAATGCCATCATGTTTATTTTTGTAACTTCCGCAATAATTACTAATTTAAATTATACATTTATTGGAATGTTTATATATTCATATTAAATATATCTATTCCATATAGATAGCATTTATCTTGAAGTAGTAAATCAAATTTATTGTTGCTTTTTTGATGTAAATTATACGAAATCGACGAACCATATGATGACAAAAATTGTTCATTAATTTAACGAATTTGATTAAAAAAATTTTTTTTAATTTGGATTTTATTGTAAATATAAAAAAGTCATTAATAATTTTAAGTGACTTTTAATTAAAAATTTGATGTTTAAAATAATCGTCAATTTTTCGTCTATTTAATTTATTAAATAAGTCAGTAAAGATTCGAGCTTTAACTGAGGTAATATAGGTTAAATATTAACTTCTTGTTTGTTTTTTACATTTATATTTTTAACATTAAAAAATTACAAATATTAATAATTAATTTATTATGAACGAAAGCCTCATCGCTGTCCCTCGCGTCAAGTGGATGTTATGTTGAATGCGTGATTTGTACCGATAGAAAGTCGAAATTATTTTTACAATATTGTATGAAGACTTATTCCTCGCTTTCTGTAAAATTGCTTTCTATAAAGTCCATTCGCAAAGTCTTGTTGGAAATTCTTGTACAGGATCGGAATTAATCCCGAGTTTTCTCGTCTTGCACTGGAAGTAATAATTTTATCAATGAGTCAGACAATTATATGCTATATATTTTAAAATCAAGTTATGAAATTAATTTAGTAGTATACTTTAACGTACAATTTTCGTCGCTTTTTTCGTTTTATTAAATGTTCTCCCACTAGTAATAATAATGTTAGTAATAGTACTATATCTTAATAACAATACGAATTTAATATTACATAATTAATGTATAGATATATATATATAATGATTATTTTTTTTAATCCAAATTGTTAAGTAAATAAATTTAAGCTTTATGCAAATAATTTGCTTTATGCAAATATTTTGCTCTAACAAAAAAATATGATTACGAATGTATATATTTAATTTTTTAACTGTTATTTTAAAATCATTTTTAGGTATTGGAGACATCCCGCCATTCCAGAATATTGTTAATTATTTATTTATATGTATACTTTTCTATGATAAAATACATGCAGATATATTACGAGATTATATTTAACAAGTTTTGATTTTTGTCGATTTAGATAATTTTTTTCAAAATACCTTATGTTCTTTTATCAATGATATCGATTTTTGTCAATTTAGATAATTTTTTTATCAAAATACCTTATGTTCTTTTTTCAATGATATCGTGATTACATGAATTTAATTAAAAATGTGTGGATACAAAAAATTCGAGATAAGTCGAATGGATACCTTTATATTAGCGAGGTATTAATAATTAAAATTTTGGGAAAATGCAGAAAAAAAAAGATTGAAGATTAAATTTTATATATAATAATAAATTTTTCAGAAAGCATACTTTGTTTAAAATCTCGTTATTATCAAATTCAATTTATCTCGAACAGTTGGTACCCGAGATACTTTTGTATTCATACATATAAAAAATTACAATAATGCATGTATTTTATTATTATTAAATATATTCCTTCGTAATCACCATTCCATAAGGAAATTATTTTATCTTTTTATTTTTAATAAGAGATGATTTGTAGTAAGATGATCTGTGGCAGAACATATAATTTCCTCGCAAATTTTGATATTATATTAAAAATTCAATAAAAATGTAATTAAGATGCTATCAAAATTATTTCTATCGTAAGTGGTCTGAAAGATTTGGAATTCACATCCTTCTATAATAAGACCGCTGGTGTTTGACGGATTGCTTAACTTTTTTTTGCGAATGGATCTTATGAATTTTACGTAGAATCAGAATACATCAAGTTCGCTTTTCTATGAAGATTTTTTTTCTTCTTTGTATCGGCTATTAACCTTATCACAACGTGGAGGGATCTTGATGTGATCAAATTATCGGGATACTTATCTTAAATACGATGAAAGTCGTAAATGTATTAATGATTTTTTATCACGATATTAATAAGTTTTATAATATAATCGCAAGTTAATAATGAATAGTAAGTACGATCTAATTGTTGTTAGTATTTTCATTCCGCATTTATCAATATTTCATTGAACATTGGTTTAGAAAATTTTTGTTATCGTATGTATTTTCGACATTTTCGTATAATACCTCATTACTAAATTTTGTTAATTGTGCTCCTATAATATAATTCTTGTTATATTTCGAACAACATTTTTTATTATACATTGTATTGTAAATAATTATGTATTATTAAAGGATTACAATAAAAGATAATATTAAAAAACTATGCAATGTAATTGTTAATTATTTTATTGTATTTCGCTAATCATAATATGATTTTAGCGAAATATAATAAAATAATTAAAGAAAAAAAAGAGAGATATAAAATTAAAAAATAAATTTAAAACATACTTACCTGCAAAAATCGATTAAATTTATTAGTAACTCGTTTTTTTATTGGGGAATATATTTACAAAGAAAAGAGGATCGCCATTAAAAATTGGCGGGGGTAGTGGAGGGCCTCTAAGGTTGATTTATTTTTATTCATATAAATTTTGTTTACAATTTTAAATTAAATGTAGTTTGCTTATACAATTAGAAGAATTCTAACTTTATTCAAATTGCAAATTGTAAATATAATTATAAGAATAAGACTGGGGTAGAGAGCCTACAATCAGAGTGACGCCATATGGGTATCACTTGTGATTGGTCCGCCATTCTCTCTAGTTTTTTAAACGCATTATTTTCTAAATTTTGAATTCATGCTAAAAAATGCTCAAAAATTGTGACATATTAAAAAATGATAATAAATAAATATTGTATATAAAATAATAAAATTTTTACATATATTATTTATTATAAAATTTCATTTAATTTGTATTATTGCAATATTGTACAAAACTTAGTGTACAAAACTTAGACTATACATATACTTAGTGCCAAGACACTTCAGATATTATAATTAATCTGTGTATATTTTATGTTATATTTTTATTTTAATATTTTAAATACATTATTTATAAAGAATAAATTACTTTACTTCACATACAGAATTTTTTGACGGTGTTCAATTTTTATATTTGCCATCTATATTCTTTAACTAATTCATTCGGCGTTCTGTGTCTTTCGGAATTATTTTCATAACATATCCTTTTTTTAATGAATTGTTACAAAACGGTATTGTACATCCAATCACATTTCTAAAATAATTTCGATAATTTTATTTTTATCTAGATAGTGCAAAAAATACTGCAACAATACTGCCTGAAGAATAAATATAGAAACTTCGACTTCAAAATGCTCATTAAATGAGTATCAAGGAAACAATGAAAGTTGATTCTTCGTCCTTGTCTAGCTTATAGTAATAATATGGAAAAGAACAAAAAAACGTGGATAATATCAATAGTGATTATATTTTCTTAAAGAAAATAAAGGCTAAATCTGAAAATTTAGAGCTTTGTTTCTATGTTTTTAAACCAGTTTGACTGTCAAGAATCTGTGCATTATAAAATTATGTTGCACAGTATCTCAATTAAATTAATGCGTTGTTTTCTGATAATTTGAAACTAATTCAAACAAATCCTTTATTGGAACAAACCCTTATCTTGATTTGAAATTATAAAAAGTTCCAAGTAATAAAAAATGAAAACAACCCAAGTTTGAAAACAAATAAGATAAATTTAATTTAAAAAATTAAGAAATATAATTAACAAAAACAAATTGTATTTATGCATGAAACTAAAATATTTTTTGTAAAAATTTATTCATTAATATAATATTATGTATATATACATATTGGAACGCCAATTAGAAAATTTCTCATAATTTCAAAATAAAGGGCATTATTGAAAAGTAAAGGACAAAATTAAATTTTCAAGAAACAATAGATCTGAAGGACAGTTATTTAAAATAAAGAATTATCCTTTACAATAAAGGACGTATGGTCACCATAATAATACAATATTTTACGAGATTTAATATATGAAAAAGGTCGGAATGTTTACTCTCGGGTTTTTCTCTGCTCCTACTACTTATTCAACGCTTACTCATTGGAATAAGTAGAAACTGGTAGAAGGATGTTGGAGCATATGATGCGAACAAACTTTAGGTATCCTACGTCTATTTTGTGAAACTGTTGATAAAATCGTAGTGCCGAATATGACCGTGCTAAAAAGAGTCAATCCTGTCAACTTTTATCAGTACAGTCCTAATATTGGCCACATATTTATTGCTTTTTTATGTCCAAAATAATTTGAATTTTTTTCAATTTTATTTACGCCACTTTAAAATGCTATTTTTATCTATAATATAATTTTTTATTTATTATGATACAATTTTTTTATTTATTTATAATTAACATATTATAAATCATTATAAGCAATTGAATAGATAATTATCAGCAATAGCTATTACCCTAGCAAAGTTTGTCATTTTGACGTCATATTTTGGGCCTTTACTGGCGATTACTGATGTCTTAATAAAGTCAAATTGACGTTCAAATGTCACAGACGATTGACGTCATCGGTGAGCCATCGTTTTGACGTTATACCTTGATCCTTTACTGATCATTATATTATACTCAACTAGTGACTTATCATGTCAATATGACGTTACGGAGTGATGTCACGAAATGACGTTATATATGAAATGCCGTCGAATAAAACCTATGTTCACTTTTGAGTCCCTTGACATCATTTTTACAAACATGATTTAAATTGATGTCAAAATGACGAGCTTTGCTATCTAGCAGTTTTTACGTGCTCTCTGTGTAATCATTTTGTTTAAATGCATAAAATTGAAAAATATGTTCATTAAAAATAATCAAGCTGTACTCAAGAAATCTTTTCCATTTTTTGATTATTTTCAATTGTTATTGTTGAAAGACGGGAAACGTAGATCAGTATCTTTAAGATTTTCTTCGATCCATTTCTCTATCTTTCCCTCTAATTCTGGAGTGAAAATGTCTTGCCAGTTCCCGTTTCCTCCTTTTCTAATAAAAGAATTGTCCTTAATAATTCCACAATCCTTCAACTCAGAGAAATTCACCATCGGATTGTTTCGAAAATTTTTGATATTGAGATGATTTGTCACTTTGTTAATTTCTTCGTCAGTGTATGTTTTATCCAAAAATTTTGCTACTTTCTTAATTGCTTTTGGAAAATCCTAGAAACAAAAATAATTTTCTTTAATATATATATATCATATAAAAAACAACTTTAAACAATAAAGATGTTAGTTGTATCTCTTTGGTGAATTAATTATTAATTATTTAATTAATTATTTGATTATTTAATTATATGATTTAAAAAATGTTTTATTTGAAAAATGTTAAAGATATTTTATACATATTTTCAAAATAATAATAAAATTATGAAAAAATTACAAATTATTCTAAATCACGTTTAATAATAATACGATAAATTTAGTAATGATTTATTATCTGAATCAGTTATTTTAATAAATAGTAGTTCTCTTTTATAATCTGTAATAAATCTCTAATAAAAATATAACGAAATGTATTATAAAATAAATAATAAAAATCTCAATTTTTAAATATAAGTACATTATGTATTCAAGATTATTTACGTAGAGTTATATTGAAAAATTGCAAAAGATATTATAAAAATTGCTATATTATTTGGTAGAAGACATTTTATAATTTGTATTTATGTTTTTACAATTATTTTTAATTTTTATTTAAAAAATATTGTCCAAAAGCAAACTAATATATCGGTATCGATGACTTTTCTCTGTTTAAATGAGAACAAAAATTTTGTCTATACTTACGTTTATTACCTCCTCATAAAATAAGAATAAAAGATTTTTTGAATTTCTTAAATTCCAGGCTTCCTTTAGATGTTCCCAATACGGGCTCCAAGCCGTTAAATTATTTAGAAAATATTCCAAAAAGGTGGAAAAGTCACCAATGTATCCTTGTGTCTTAATCGAGCAACTAAGGTGATACCAAGATATTACAACGTCTTTCGGATTGCGAGCTATATACACAGTCTTACAACCAACATCTAAAAGTCCAGGCAACATGCTGAAAGGCAAATGGGTTTTTATAAATCTAGGTGATGGCATTTCAGCGACAACTTTATAACCGGGCAAAGCTAATTCCCGACACAATTTTTGCTTTGCTTTGTCATCTTTGTTACAGAATAAAAATTCTTGGACCACTTCAGGATGAATAAATAAGCTGAATCTGCAAATAAAGATACAATTTAAGGATGTCTTATACATATTTTCAAAATGATAACAAAATTATTATATAAAAAAATTATTGATTATTCTAAATTACGTTTAAAAATAATACGACAAATTTTGGTTTACTATTTGGATCATAAGTTATTTTAATATATATATATAAATAAAAGTAGTATTTTTTTAATCTGTGCTCTAAATATAAAAATATATGTATTATAAAATAAACATGACAAAAATCTCAATTTTTTAGTATAAGTACATATTTGAATACATATTATGCATTCAAAATTATTTACGTAGAGTTATATTGCGATGCATGAATTCGTTATCCAGTAAATAAATAAAATATTTATTTATTCTATATCTTTGTAATTAATCAGTGAATCGCAATGAAATTTTGCATAAATTATTTTAAATATTTAAAATACTTATAAAAGAAAAATGTGTTAATTATTTATAATTTTTTAAATTTTCATTTTTAACAATAAAGATAATAACAAATAAAATAAATAAACTACAAAAATATGTTATTAAATAACAATATAATCTTATTCACGTAACTTTCATATGTATATAGTTTATTTGAAGTGTAAACATACCAAATTTAATTTTCTTTGCAAGGACTGTACGTCAAATACATCCTTAACAAACATTGACAAAAGATCATAAGATTTAATATCTCAATTTAATAAAGTATTAAAATAACATAAAAGTTACAATTACAATAAACAATTATAGAAATGCTTTTAAATATAACGATTATAAGCAGTAAAAATATCTGAATTAAAAATGTATAAATAATATAAATAACATAAATAAATTAAATTAGACCGCTTATTAATAAATCATTAAGTAAAGAAGCGTCAGACGATTAGGATTAAATTTTACAATTAGAGGAACTTAATAATATTTCTATATTTAAATAAATTTTCCAGTATTTCAAAACGCTTATCAAACACCCAGTGAGAAATAATAATGGAATCTATACCGAATGGAATCTATATCGAATGGAATCTATCGATGTCATCAAATTTACGTCGAATTATTATCAATTTATGTCATCGATTTTATTATCATTTCTCACTAGGCATAGCCTGTCTTTGAAAACATAATTCTAATTACGTTTTTTAACAGAACTAGTGCCCACTCAGTGTACTTAAAACCATCGTACATAAATTGATGTAAAGATATGTTTAATAAAAATATAGAGAAATGAATTAAACCGCGAAATCCTCAATATATTTTATTATGCTATTTGATAAAATATATATTGGGCATTTCTAGAGAAAAGTGCTATATTTTCTAATTTGACTTGCAGTTGTATATTCAATTTTCAATGTATAAGATATAATACATATTTGCCATGTGATATATAATTTTGTTAATTCGTTCAAATTATATGCAATACTGTAAGCGATAAATAATAAAAAATATCTTAAATATTGCAAACAAAATGAATAAATAAAAATAAAATATATGACATCTGCCTGGAGTTAATTATAAAAATGTTTATTCATGTTTTCATTTCAGCAAAAAAAGTTAATAAAATTATACAATTTGCAAATATGAAATATGAAATTGTGTTAAAAAAAAATAAAGATAATCTCATAATGGCTTAATAATAATAAACTTTATATAAAAATAAAATTATGTTAAAATAAAATTTATGTTTGTTTATAAAATTGTGTATTTTTAGAATTTGTATTTTTAGTTGTAATTGTGTAAATGTGTACTTATATCAGACGGAAAATTTTTTACAATAATATTATAATATTATAATATATTTTATTGTTTTCAAACAAATGTATTTATTTTTTTGTATTGTGTAACATAATGATAATGTCAAACATATTATATTTGTTATATCAGTATATAATAATATATATCTAATAATATAGCTTAAAAAAATTGTAAGTAATTTCCTATACAGAACAGACATAGTCCCAAGGCATCTTAAGGATATTTAGAGAACGTTCCTATATCCTAAGGGTGATATTTGGATAAAGTGTTCTATGTGGATTGATGGCAAATTATTATATGTAGATAAATACTTTTAATAGATAAATTTAACTTCGATTTTAAGTTTAATTTCTTTTGCAAATTGTTTAATTTCTGTAAAGAAGAATATAATATAAGAGTTTTATTCGTAGGATATAACTTTACTATTATGTGAAAATATGTGCACTTTTAATAGTGAGAGTCAAAATTACTCTATCACTTACTATTACTATCTATCACTATCTATCACTTACTATTGTTATCAATCACTTACTATTGTTATAATTGTACTTAAAGTTCTTTTATAATGTATCATCATATATACACATATAAACACACATACTCACTCGAGAAATGGAAATCTTTCAGTAAGTAGACGCTTTTTCGCTACGTCAAAATTCAAATCATTTGCCAACAGCCATATGAGCTCTTGCGTCATAGTCGTTCCTATTTTAATATAGAAAAATAACAAGTATGAATAAAATTTCTTTTTTACATCTAAAAAAAGATAAAGATTTATCTTTTTGATTATTAAAATAATCTTAAATAAAATTTAAAACATTCTCTGATAAAAAATCCGATAGAATATATATAAGAAATAATTAAATTCTTATAAAATTTTATCGTTATTTATAAAGCTTATCGTAGGCATTTTTCAAGTTAGACACAACTGCTATCGTTTCGAATCGATTTTTATAATATCTTTTTTTAAGCGTTTTAAATCAATAGAAATTCTTTAATTGTCGTATTTATACTCATATTCGTTTTTATGGAATTGACAATAAAATATCATTCGAAATTTGATATTTTGATATCAATATCTTTTATCAGATTCAATGTAAGATACTTGAGAAATATATAATAGTAAAAATATAATAATATAATGACTCAATAATTTAAAAATAAGTTAGGCAAAAGGACTACGAGCTAAAAATTTTTTTTAAATCTTTTTTTGATAAAAATTAGTAGATAAATAAAAGTCTTAATAAATTAATTATGAAATTTAATAACATGCCGGCTAACAACAATAAACGTTTCTATCGGATCATTATCAATGTTTACAAAATATGTCTAAACATAAAAACATAACATAAAGTCGATCGAAGATTAAACATGTATATTCGCATTGAATAACTATATAATTGTTGGTATCAATAAAATTAAGGAGGATCTTTATCTTGTTAAACGGAACAGTAACACATATAAAATACATACATTAGAATTCGTCAGAGAAGTAAAAACTTATATTGTGAACGGTCGATGGCAAATAAAAATATACTTCGCAATGTCAAGACATCAAAATGTTGGTATCAATAATTGAAAAATCTTTGTCTTATTAGAAAATTTGTACAGCAAAAGAACGTCAATGTATGATTATATATTAGTGTCCAGAACGAAAAATAACGCATTACAGCTTTCATAATTGTAGTTGAGAGTTCCAAAAAAAATTAAATAATATGAATAAAGACAACGCAATAGATAATGCGATAAGAGAAAAATTAGTGTCATTTATCTTCGATGTTGTTAGAAAATTAAAACGAAATAAAAAATTTTGATAAGAGAATTTTATCAGTTCTAATAAGTAATTCATGTATGTTATTTATATGACATTGATAATAGAAAATCACTCGAAACTTATTTGATATTTTGTATGAATATCTTCTTCAGATTCAATGTAAAATATATGATAAAAAATTTATTACTTACACAGTATATAATTAATATATTAGTTTTTTTGCTCGCAAACGTGTCGTTTGCAAACGGAATTAAAGATAAAAAAATTTCTATAAAAATTTATTTGATATTTTACATAATTTTCTATCTCATGTAATGTGGGAAACATGATAGAGGATCTACTATCAATTCTGTAATAAATAAGGTTCTGTAATAACATAATCGTTATTTATATGGAATTAAAGATAGAAAATATATCAGAATTTATGTAATTTTTCAATAACAATTTTCTATCAAATACAATATGGTAGATATGATAACTGTGTCAATTCTTACAGATTATGGCATACGACACATGATTACGATATAAATGATCTTTAATTGAATCTCTGCTATTTACAGTTGATTTTTAATCCAATTCTTGGATCCTTTGAGTGTAGATTTTCACACTCAAAACTAAATTTTGGGAGTGAACAATTCCATAATTGCCGTGATAAAAACATACACAAGGTATTCCTAGATTAAATCATCAAACTTAAAATATTCAGAACCTCAAAATAAACAAAAATTTTCTCTGGATGCAAACGCTTCGTTTGAGATAATTTACTTTTGAAGTTATACAGAACCGTAGAAATGAATGATATCGAAATAAAGTCTATTCTCTTTATTGCTTTATAGTAATAAAATTTAATTATTAAATGTTTTGTTCAAAACAATTTCCGTCACAAAATCCATATAAATATACCATTCACTATTAGAATATGTACGAGGTATGATTATAAGTTTATTCTACAAAAGCACCAATGAACTAATAGCTACGAACTATGAGCTACAACTATGAATTTTGCAAACAAAATATCAATGACTTTCGAACGACTTTTTTCAGAACAAAAAGAAATATTTTAATTATTTATTTTCCTACAGTTTTGTATACATAACTTCAGAAGTAAATATCTCTTAAACGACACGTTTGCAAGCATACGTCCAAAGGAAAATTTTTTTGTTTTGAGATCTTGAATTCATATTTTAAGTTTAGAGAGAATACTCTGTATACATATGTGCATCTAGCTGCTGTCGACTATTGATAGCCTATCAATAAATTCACCATAAATGCTTATGGTAACTCCGCACCTAACATACGCCGCGCCTAACAAAAACTTAATTTATTAAGTATTATTTACCATGTTTAAGGTAAATGAACTACGTCAGTAAAAACTTCGTCTATTATTATGTATGTGCTGTCTATTATTATGAAAAAAAAAATTAGAAATGCGAAATGTTTATTTTTCCTATTATTATAAATTTCTACTGTATATCCCAAAGGAGTGGGATATGCTACTTATAGGGGAGGAGAGATATATACGCCTTATAAAAAATTTACAAATAATGCTTATAAATAAGAGATATAAAATGACATAATAACTTACAAAATATGTTTACTAAGTTTTATTAAGGAATAAAAATGATAAATATGTATATGAAGTAATAGATAATAATTACAATCTTCCTACATATGTTACAAGTATTATTATATGAAGTATATATTTCATGTAAAGTGTTTATTTAGCGCATCAATCTGCGCACTTTGTATGCTTAGGGCAAATCTCGTTCACTAAAAATGCCGTATATTCCAAACAGATGGGATTTATAAAACAACAAACTAAATAAAGAATATAAGAGCAAAGTACTTGTATTTTGCTATACAACAATGTTTTACTTATTTCTCTGCACTTATACATCACGAAATAACCACTATATCTTTTACGCGCTCTACAGTAATCGTTTTATGTAGATTATAATTTATAAAGTTGTTTTATATATATATATATTTATTACAGTGACAAATCGATTTAATTCATAATAATTTCATTAATATTAACAGTAAAAAATTGAAATCATAACACAATACTAATACAATATAAAGGCATGTAACAGAGTAGTTACGGGAAAATTACCCCTACTCTTATTTTTTCCGACTTCTACGGCGTAAATCCCGGCACGGCGTACCGAAGTTACCTATATGAAGAAAACTATTGAAATATATATTAACCCATCGAGGATCATAAGTGATTTTCCATAAAGAATATTTCAATTTCTGTAATTTGAAAACTATAGATCGATACATTATAAAAACTTGTAGAATTAATTTTACGCGGTGAAGAATTTCCTATTAAGTATCAATAGACCTTTCGATGTATGTAATTCCATATAGATCACTACTGACAACCTATTGCAAATTCATTATAATAACTTATACAAGGAGTCGAATAACAGTCGAATCTGACTAGTGTACGATAATTCAGCGTTATAGGTTATCCATAGGTGTTAGGTTATCCATAAATGTTAGGTTATCCATAAGTCTTAGATTTGAATTTTGTCGATACCACATATACGTTTTTAAATACTGTAAATTATATCCGATGTGTAATTTTAATGTGTAATTAATATCATTTTATGTGAAACAACATACACATTAATTTTAGCCTCGGTGGTCTAATGGCTTAGGACGCTCATACGGAATACAAGAGATCCGAATTCAAGTCTCGGCCGAGGTAATATTTTTTGCAATAAATTTATTAACAGTTTTTCAACATATTAATATCTTTATAATATGATGCTTGATTGTTGCATCAAATTAGTAAAATTGCTTGTTAATTTAATTCACGATTATTAGAGTAGTTTTAATTGCGTTTATAATCCAGAAAAATAATTCGGCGCGCAGTTAAAAAAGACTACAATATGTTATACATATTGCAAAAGTATATATATATAATATATATTAGTAATTCAAGCTTGAATTATTTAAAAAGCAATGAAGATCCAAATTTCGATCGTAATAGGCATTTTAAATTTCTAGTATTGATTGTGTTCTCACATATGCAGTCTAAAATAAAGATTCTTAATATTAATTCTACATTGTTAAAAAATAAAATTTAATATATCTTTTTAAATAGTGTATGAAAAAAGATATTTTATCGTTTTGAATATGGAACTTTGGTTCGTGATTTCACGAAATGCTATATAATGCATATTTAAAGGACAATAAATATAATTCACGAAGCCTTAGGAGAGTTGGCGCTGGAACAAAATTGCGCAAGAATATATAATATATAATACAATAATATAAAAATAAATAAGTTTAATTATTTCTGAACGTTTCGGCTTCGTTCTGAGCCATCTTCAACAGAAAAATATTAAACATTACCGCAAAATATAAAGCTGAATTATGAATCACAAAGTCATATTTCAAGCTTTTCTATATGCAAATTGTGCAGACCATGCAGTGAAATGTGACCATCTTTAACATTATTAAATGTTGTACAGTACAACAACAGTTTTATGTCTGAATGACTCATGGCTGAGTTTCATGATTTAATTTATTTTTCATCTCTTTCTAGTTCTAAAAGTCAGAAAAAGATGAATAAATTGAACCGAGATTAAAGATAATCTACAGTATTGGAAACATTAAACTTCTATATTTTTGTTAATCTTCCACATTTTTGTATACACAACTTTATAACTATTAATATAACAATATTTTTGTATAAGTTTAAGCCCTTGAGGGAATTTAGCTTCAGAGTGCTAAATAAATTTCGATTTCTCTCTCTTTCTTCTCTTGTGAAATCACAAACCAAAATCCATATTCAAAACGATCAAAATCATTTTCTTTCGTTTTCTATCGAATTTTTTAAATCAGGGTTTAATTTCAAAAAATATATACGTCTTGATTTAATTAAAATATATTTGAAAATAAATTTAAAAAAATTGAAAAACCGATTAGAAGATCTAATTTTGAGAGAAAGGAAAATTAGAATAATAATACATTTGTAAAATTTTATAAAATTCAAGTTAAGTGGTATGAAAAAAAAACATCATTTAAAAGATAAAGTCTAATCAAAAATTTTCACTGTTTCCTCGTATTTTTATTGTTTGAGTATATATTGTTACACTAAAAATATCCATATAATGGAATTACTGTTGCTTAATCTTTTTTGCATTTATCACCAGTTGATACGACCAGTCTGCCTCCTATAAATAAATTCTATAATAATGCGCTATTTATGTGCTCTTAAAATTCGCCAAAAAAATTATTGCACTCATTTCGTTTAGGTAAAAAAAAAAATTTGTTTGTCTCGGAATCGGCTGTCAATCAGCTCCATCCCCCCTCCCCCATGTATTAGTAACAACCGATTTGAAAAATCAAATAGACAGGATTTATGCACTTTTTATACGCTTTCATATTCACATAGTTTCAATTTTTGTTTTGCATCCCTTAAAAGACTTCCATCTTGGAGCAAATAGTCATATTCAGTCTTAAGTCGTTTAAAACTGCAGAATTAAGCTATCTAACTATGCAAAATATATCTTTGATTTATGCGCTATACCATTTCCAAACAATTTCAATTTTTGCGCTGCAATCCTTTAGAAGATATATTTTGCATAGTTAGATAGTGTAATTTTGCAATTTTAAACGACTTAGGGATAAACATGTCTGTTCCAAGACGGAAATGCCTTAAGGGATGCAGCGCAAAAATTAAAACTATGTGAATATGAAAGCGCATAAATAGCTTACAAATCCTGTCTATTTGATTTTCTAAATCGATTGTTATTAACATATAGAGGGGGGGCTGATTGACGGCCTACTGAGGGCTGACTTACAGCCCTCCCACAAAAAATTTTTTTAGCTAAATAATAAAACAATAAAAATAAAGTAATAAAATAAGCGCAAAAATTTTTTTGCGGATTTTGAGAGCGCATAGTATTATTATATAATTTATTCATTAAGATTTAGTTAAGTGGGGGGCCAGTTAGGCAAATGTGTTAATACGTACCTGATCGGGGGTACGACAACAACCAAATGTCATCTGATCTAGCTTTAAAATTATAAAAGCCTTCACCCTGTTCTATATATCTAGACGGCAAAAGATATTTTTTCGGACCCACAAGTACAAATCCAGTTCTTTCGCCTTTAAAGAGCTTCAACATTTCCTTTGTCTTTTCTTCTGACAGAAGCTCGTAGTTTGGAGGTTGTCGAGCCATCTTTGCTACTTATGTCTTGTCCACTTGATTATCGATAAAAAAAATGTTTTATTTTATTATTTCGTTTTGACTATTATTCACAATTGAAAGAATTAAAAAATATGAACAACTACGAGTTATATATGTATTAAATTTTACACTAAAAATGTTAATGTAATGCTAGACGGATATAATGATTTACAGTCGCGATTGATGTGAAGAGCCTGATAACTACTAACTTAACACGTCACGGTCAAATCTCCGAATGACAATTTTGTGAGGCTCGACACGAAGAGTCTTTCCCTTTCCACCAACGGTCTCTCCGTTCTGTGTGCTGATTGAGAAATCTTCTTCGACATCATATTAGTCAGACTACATATTAGGTCGATAGACTACGCATTAGAGATTGAGATTGAAGATTAAAATATTGAAATTTGATCAAAATAAAAGAAGCTAAAATTTCTTTGTCCTCATTGTTGAAATTTCAATCTTTAATCTTCAATTTCAATCTTTAATACATAGTCTGATTCTGACCTTAAGAAGATTGAGATTAAAGATCAAAAGATTGAAATTTAATTAATAAAAACTAAAATTTCTTTCAATTTTTCAATCTTCAATCTCAATCTTTAATGCGTAGTCTCTGATTTCGACTTTACTGCTACTAATGTTCCTATACACGTCTCTATTTATTGCTGTTTACAACTGCAATGTTAATTATTAAACTGTATTTGCTCATATAAATATATATATATAATATATTTACAAGTTGATTTAAATCTAGAATTTCAGTTACATCACAAAAGATTGCGAGTTTATTTAAGCGGTTTTGTTCCTATTGTTGATCTTAAATATATTATTTTCAATTTTCGCAAAATTAACAAAGTACTTATAAGTTAACTAAAGGATGAACTCTCGATATTTTAAAGATAGATAACTTTTAAGTAACTTTAGGTAATGTTTAGGTAACTTTATTTGTTATCTTTTTCTGTGTTATCTGAGTTCATACTCGTGTTAAATTACTGCATGCAGTGCGCACCAAAGAAAATTCTGCTACTGAAAAATTCTACAATAAATAATTTTTGAAAAGATTGAAGAAACTCTACGTGGAAATTCCACATTAATTTGAGTGTGGAACTCTTCAAACATTCCATATATAAGTCGGCTCTATAGTAACTTAGTTTTATAATCAATGATTCTTTGATTATTAATATAATATAATATTAATATAATTGAAAATATCAACTGAATACTCGCTTTAATAATTAATAAAATATTGAGATAGAGATTGCCTAATGGCCTACTAACAAGTTAAAGAACTCAATGGTGAAATTTGTCACGCATCACATTCATTAAAGAATTTAGGCTAGTCGGTTAAACTTTCTCCACTTATCAATACTTTCCAAACTTGTAAATACTTTTTTCTTTCTTCTTGAAAAGTGCAGCCGGCGGCGACATTTGAAATCTTAGTTGTAAGAGAAGCATTTATAGAGTGATAAAATAAAATTTTTTATTTTACATTTTTTAAGATTTAAGAAAATATATTTCTGATAAAAATATATTTCCAAAATATTATATCAAATTAATATAAAATAGCATTAGGCACACAAACCCGGGAAAAAATGTTTTATTATACAATAAGATTGGAAACAAGACTATTTATGTTAAATAACATTACTTTAAATACGAAGCGCTAAATATGGTCTGAGTGTTGAGATGTTGAACAAATATATATGTATTCATATAAATGAATTAATTTCAATTACGTGCCGATATGGTTGTCGGACTTTCTGAAATATTAATAATCCCCCCAAATTTCCCAAATTAATCTTAAAAAACTGTAATAAACTTATTGCGAAAAATTAAAAAAATAAACTTATTGCGAAAAATAAATTTTTAAGATTCCAAATGGAAATTTGGGGGGATTATTAATATTTCAGAAAGTCCGACAACCATATCGGCACGTAATTATCATTTCTGAAATTAATTCATTTATATGAATATATATATTAGTTCAACATCTCAACACTCAGACCGTAGTAGTGCTTCGTGTTTAAAGTAATGTTATTTGACATAAACGATCTTGTTTTCAATCTTATTATTTATACACGTGCGCTGAAAAAATACGTAACTCTGTATACATATCGGTTATTGCGAAGAATATTGCTAAGATCTCGATGGTCTAAATTTTTCGCAATAAGTTTATTACAGTTTTTTAAGATTAATTTGGGAAATTTGGGGGGATTATTAATATTTCAGATTGATTGCGTTGAAAGTCCGACAACCATATCGGTAATTACCACGTAATTATCATTTTTGGAATTAATTCATTTATATGAATATATATATTGGTTCAATATCTCAACACTCGACCGTAGTAGCATTTCGTATTTAAAATAATGTTTTATTATAGTTATACATTATTATGTATATAATTATATAAAATTATATAAAATTATATTATATAATTATATTAAAAATTAACATATTTTATATATTGTACAATTATATATAATTATATATAAAATATATTCATATATATAACATTTTTTCCCGGGAGGACAGAAGATTTTGAAGAATTTGATAGGAATATTGTGTAAAAAAACGCAGGTAGAAATTAATATATTAAATTACTTTTTTAGGAAATGATTTTTAGGAAATGTTTTTTAGGAAATTTAATACATTCATTATTCTATAACAAAAAATGTGTTTATACATTACAGGAAATATATGATACCGTAACTCATCACTGTTAGATGTCAAAGGAGTAATAGAAACCCTATTTCTTGAGTTAAATAACATTTTATTATCTTTTTATTTCCATATGTACCAAAATATTAATCAATTCATTTCTGTAGTTAATTTCAACATAAGCAACATTCATAACGTATGTAAATAAATTAGAGTCAAATTAAAACATCTTCTTGAGTTTAAAAATTATTTAATTGCATTATTAAATTAATGACATATTGAGGAAAATCAGGAGAAGGATGTTGTAATTTTACAATATTTTGATAAGCATTTTTTAAATATTACTCGCGCGAATATATTTTTATATAATAATAATAATAATAATAATATTTCTTTTTAAACACATTTTTTAAATGTTCCAAAGTAATCAAGGGAAGAATGATGGCATTTGAAATAATTCATGCATAAAAAAATTAGAATGGAATAGGCCTACTGAGAAAATCACTATATTATAAAAAAGCGCATCATGCTGTCTATTTCATGATAGGTGTAGAAATGATAGCATTTTATCATTTTTTTGGGATAGACATCTACTTACAAGTAGCTTTATAATAAAATTACCTCTATCTATCATAAATATTTTTAAAAATAATAATTTTTTTAAAAAGTTCTGAAAATTGCTATCAACATAGAGTTTGAAGAGTGAAATCAGGGCTCATATGTGAAGCAATTTTCACTTTCTCCGTTATATCTCGAAAACTATTCGAGATATAAAAAAATGTTTTATACAAAAGTTTTACAATAAAATTACCTCTATTTATTCAATGATATTTTTTTAGAATAATTATTTAATAACTTTTTCGAAAATTTAAAAAAAAATTGATAAATAATTATTCTAAAAACGCGAATGAATACAGCTAATTTTGTAAAAACTTTTGTACAAAATATTTTTTTATATCTCAAATACACAGCCTATGTATGTCTAAGGTATACATAGGCTGCGTTTAGCAGAGAAAATTAATCAGTTTGCACTTAGTGATTCTTTAATACAATTGGTTCTTATCTTTAGTTCTTCGTTAAATCTAAGTATAGGAATTAATCGTATTAAAGAATCACTAAGCACTAACTGATTAATTTTCTCTCGTGAACGCAGCCATAGAACTGTATCTCTCGAATCGGGATGACAGATATCTTAAGTACTTCTAAAGTCGAATTTCAACGCTTAACTCGATTTACAAGATCGACTGCCGCGTTTTTCTGTTTTTAAAGCAGTGAATTTGTGTTTGTAGAGCAGAGAATTTGTGTAATTAAAAGAACGTATACTTAAGGCTTTGCATACAATGGAGGAAATATTGGGAATAGGAATAAATATTGAGATTTCAACCTACCAGAAATCACGTACATTCCGATGTAACTGGTAATCTGGTAGATTGAAATCTTAATATTGTATTTATTCCAGTTCTTAATATTTGTTTCTTAATATTTCTATTGTGCGCAGACCCTAACGCTGTATCGCGAGCGAGATATCTTAACCTCTAAAGAACTTTAACGCTTAATAACTTGATTCATGAGGTTGATCGCCGCGTTTTTCTGCCAGATTCTTTCGTTTTAAATGAATACGCGTCGAATGAGTACATTTTTATTACGATTTTAAGGAGAGGAAAGGTATTTTAAATAATTACTAAAAAAAAGTTTTGTATTACCAGGTATTATCCTTAAAAACATTATTTTTTACATATAAATTTATTCAGAATGTCATTGACAATTATTAATAATTATTTTTTGGTAAATGATTCCGAACTCTTTTTTGATAATCCAATATTATACAGTTTGTTATTGTTATTAATATACATTTACAATATACATTTTTTTCCTGTTATATCAAAATTTCAGTTTACAAATTAAAAACACTTGTTCACATAATGGCTGGAAATTGTAAGAGAGTAGTATTGTGTAAAGGATTATCTGAAAAGAGCAATCAGGAAACATATAGCAAGATATTGGAATCAGCTGGTTATAATTGCGAATGTTTACAAACTTTGAAATTCGAATTTGTGAATATTTCGGATCTGCGAACATGTTTGTCAGTAGCTGACAGATATAGTGGTAATACATCTTATTATTTTCAACATAATTATTATATGTAATTATTATTATATAATTATTATAACTAATTATTATATTTATCACTTGTTAATTAATTATAGGTTTAATATTAACTAGTCCTCGTACAGTTGAAGCTGTTGCATTGGCAGTAAAAGAAGATACTAGTATTCTGTATCATTGGAAACAGATGCCAACGTACTGCGTGGGATCTATGACGGAATCTCTCGCAAGAAATCAACTTAATTTACAACATTGTGTAGGCAGTCAGTCTGGTAATTCAAAGCAACTGGCTGAAAAAATTATTCTTGATATAAAGAAAGATTCCAAACCATTATTGTATCCATGCAGTGAAATTGCACGTGAAACTATCTCTTGTACTGTCAGAGATAGTGGAATTTCAATAAAAAAGATCATAGTTTATAGAACATTAGAGAGCGAAACTCTTGAACAAGAATTACCAAAAATGCTTGAGAAATCTCCTAGTATATTTGTTTTTTTCAGTCCATCTATAGTTGAGCATATTACAGCGCAACTTAAGAGAAATTTCTATAATGTCAAAGATATAAAAGCAGTAGCAATAGGACCTGTAACAAAAGATGCATTAATTGATTCTGGTTTCAATGTATATGCCACTGCAAATAAACCTGAACCAGCAGCTTTGATGCAAGCGATCACAGCTGCTGATTCTATAGAAAATTTAAAAAAGAATAATTGATGAAATAATAACATGATGCCTTTTGGGTTGTTTGTCATAAAGATTGATCATGAAAACTAGATCGGCAAACTAAATTGGTGCGCAGTTTATACACAATGCAATATGTATTTGCATTTGTATATAAATATTATCAAGCATCAAGATCTGCTTCGACCGAATATGGAATTCTCTTTTTTTGATTTAAATAAGAATGATCGAGGAAAATATTATATACTGATATACATACATATATATTATGAACTTATCAACATTTTTTTTTAATATTTTGATATTGCAATACATATATTTTTTAATATCTAAACATTTCTCAAATTATTTCATAATAAGAGGAATCTTTCTTTCTTCAGTTCATGTAAGTTTGTTAACAATAATTATAAATAATGTACATACAATATATATTTTAGAGAGCTATAAAAGCAAATGTGTGTATACGTGCGCGTATATGTGTATTATATATGTAAATATATCTTATAATATAATTGTAACTTTGATTGTCATTTAGGTATTTTATTATATTATATTGTTTTATTCAGAAAAATAATGTACAATTTTGTTGATAAAAGCGTTGTTTGTAAATTTGTGCATACACATCTTTTATATTGTTAATAATTTTATATTGTAGTATATATTTATAAAAATAAAACATAATATTCGAAACGAAATAATATATTTAACATATTTAATATAGTTTATAAATATTTTATTTGGAATATGTATGAATTTTTTTTATACATAATATATAATCTCTTTTGCATGTTCAAATTTTTATATCACAAATATTTCTGTAAGACTTTATCAGGTATCTTATTAAATTTAATATCTATTGCGGTTTACACCTAACAGGCACGAAATATCTGAACTAACTATTGCGGACTGATTCGCATAATAAGGCTGAGAAGCGTTTCCACTATTATATTTCATTTGGACTGCCGTTTCGTAATCGGGTGCCGGTCTATATGATGGTAATAACGCGCGCAAACTATTTATATCGGTTGACGAAATGGATACAACAGGACACGGTGATGGTATTGAAAGATCATTGTAACTTGTCCATCGTGTATGTGTGTCCGAGGTCCTGTTATCCGAATTCACGGATACTGCTTGCTCACTAGAATCGTTTGTATCATTATCCTGTAACACATATTAATGCCTACAATTACATAAAATTCTGTACGCATGTTTCAATATAATTAAACAAATGTTAATTTACGCACACAGCAGCCACTAGATCTTTCTTGTGGACGGCGTTCTTGATACTGTATATAGAATAAATGTTGGGCTATACATAATCTCCATATGTATTTTGCATCGCGCGACTCGGTAAATACAAATTGCTTTGCTTCTTCACATTTGCACTCTATTCTAAACGTCTTCTTTTGATTTATAACATTACTGATGTCTTTCCATCTGCAAATTGTAAATTATTTATTTAATATGCATGTATAAAAATAATTTAATGCGTATAAAAAGTCTTTTTAAGCTGAATTTTTTGCACTATTTATCTCCTCTTTTTTTCCAATGTGGAAAGAAAAAGAGAAAAGATGAACATGCAAGAAATTCAGATTCTGAAAAGAACAGACCTAAAGTAACATGTATAAAAAGTAAATTAACCTATAAAATTGCGTTGTTTGAGTATTAGGATAGGTCACCATAATTCCATTGATAGAAATTCCAAGTATAACTTTGTTGTTACTGTTATCCTGAAATATTCCATAATTGTAGGATTTGAAGCAACAAAAATTAATTAATTTATCGCGCTATTTATACCTTGGCAGGAAAAGTTTCAGTGCCATATCCTTCCAGTTGCATGGCAATCGAGATATATAATTCTTCTGCAGTAGCTTGTGTCATATTGGCAAAACCTTTATATTGACATATTGCTGTGTATAAAAGAGATTCTTGACCATTTGGATCTGTTTTGTTTACGTCCTAAAGAGAAATTTAAATAGAATTCGGATTTAGATTTATATGACATTTGCAATTAGAATAATTTAATTATGAAAATTGGTATTACGTTTGGGAAGAAAGTACATTGTTGGAGATACTCGATTGTGTGTCTCTCTGGACTATAATTTCCAAACTCAGCTTGCATAGAATAGCTTGCCAACACACAAGCCTGTCTGTAATTACAATGTACTTTGTTTTCTAGTACATCATTCTTCAGTTGAAGATAATAATGATATCTGTGGAAGGAAAACGAGAAGAAACATGTAAAATTATATTTTTTAAGAAATTTATAGGTCTGTTATTTTTAATTTTTTGTAAGATTCATATTTCTTCTTTTCTTCTTTAATTTGAAGAGGAAATAAGAAAAAATAAAGTTTGTGCAAGTTGAACTAAAAAGAACAGACCTTATATCACTTAAGCGAATTATGTCAACCTTGTCATCTCATCTTGAATGAGTCGTACGTCCACTATATAGTACATAACTCTTAAGTAAAGCGTAAAGCTTTTAGCATCTTTTTCAAGCTGCCTCTTTAAAGGTTTGTCCATGTCTATCCATCGAAGTGATGATGTACTGCGGCAAACATAGCGTAGGCTAAAAAACTCTGGTTGCCCTAATCCTAAACGTTGCATCACATTGTCCAGACACTCCTGGCCAACGCTGTCGATGCTGAGAGTGCATTCTATAGAAGTGGCATCTAACAATTCGACACAGATTACGTACTGATTCTTGGACACGACATTATACTGTCTGCTCTTTTTCAAGTGGAACTTGAACGGCATTTTGGCAGCCGCAAAGTAACTAAAAAAAAAAAAATACATACATGTAGCGCATTGATTACAAATCTAAGGGAAATCCGAAGTGTCACAAAAGTCTTTTTTTTATAAGTTTTTTGTAATGATTTTGTGTAACTAGTATACACTGAACTAGTATACATTTTTGGAATTTAAAATAGAGTAGATATATTTGATATTTTTTAGCAAAAGAGAGAAAGAAAATTCAGAAAGTGTAGTCTAATGCAGGAATAAAGAAATAGACTTAATGTATCCTAATAAATACAAACTAATACGTACATCAGTATTATAATTTTCCATTTAATAATATAAATGTAATGTAATACATTGTAATAACAGTTATGCAGATAACAAAGCGTATCACAGCAAAATCATACAAATCTGTGATTGCTTATGATGCTATTATGGCAACTTGCCATAGATTTATCTTTAACGATTTCTCCAACATGGAAAGAAAAGGAAGAAAGATGAACTGTGCATTTTAGTTAAAACGAACAGATCTTATGTATTGCTAGCATTTTAACAGCAAGATAGCTATGTCAATGTTATCTTGTGTTGTCGACAATATGATAGCATTGTATGATGCTGTATATTATGATAACATGATGGCAATAATATGAATTTTGATGGGGACGATCTTAAAGTTGTCCGCACAATGCTGACAAGTTGCTACTAAATGTTATCATATTGTGAAGGCATCAAGTTGCCAACAAATGAAGACTCAGTTGTTGTAATTCTGGTAACAATGCATACTTAGCAATGCATATTTAATAAGCAACTTGCCAGCAACAAGATAGACACGTTATCTGGGTACATTGATGATTAGGAAATTATAATATTAATGTTAAATACTATTAATTTGTGTTCAACAGGACGCAGAATAATAATAGATTATAGATTAAGAAATTTTAAGACTTACAATTGTATCAAATATCATTCGCATTATAAAGTGACATTATGATTTACGAGAAACGTCGCAGTACAAATTGGCGATATAACAAGTCAAGAGATATATTGATATATATTTTAAGCGGTGCGCATACGCGAACTCCTTTAATGTCTTAAAATATCGTATACACTCATCAGTCAGTTTCTTGTGTAAACACTGTACACATTATTCGCTCAGCGGACACATTACCCATCCGAGATAGATGTATATTTTGACAATCGAGACTCCGTTATCAGTAGCCATATCAATTAGCTGATATCAAACAGCAAGCATTGAATTCCTTTTAAAGTATCGCTCGAATATCTACTTCCCAAGTTTTCACAGTTTCTTCGAAGTAATTCGATTCGTCAACGAGATAAACTATACATTACTGACAGTACTGAACAAAACTTGCTGTTTGCTTACTGTTGGTATAGGTACATTCGGGGAGACGCTACTATTGTCTCATTCTAGCCTCATTGTTTATTAGACATAAAACAAGGGCAGAAAATCTCTCAGCACGAGAGCATAGAAGAGTATCGATACTTCGTCCGGCTGCGACGAGTATCGATGCTGATATATCGAGAGGTCAAAAAAGAGAGAGAGAGGGCCATCGATATTCACCCATCGGAATACTCTGGAGTCAATGGCCATCGCTGCCGGCTACAGCTGGTCGTGAGTCTGGTGGAGCGATTCGAAAGCGATGACGATCGTCGTGTGCGTCGAGGCGACGGGCTAATCAATAATGAGAAAACGAGATTTACGGGATATCATTGCATCAGATCTGTATACGCGCCTGTCTGCACGCATCAACGCCCACTGAATGCTGATAAGGAGCCACGTTAAATCCGTGCAACTCCCACGTCGCTGGACCCCTGCTTAGTGTCACATCAGTCACATGTGCTACGAAAATGAGCATCCTGCGAAAGAGGTAAGCGAGATACTTGCGCGAGATTTTGTTCTCCGATTCGATTTGTTTCATGTGTCTGTTTTCCTATGGATTGTTTATAGATTGAGCGAGTTCGACGATGTTCTCGATGCGGACGAGATAGATACGATCAGTCTCAGTAAAATATGTTTCCATGGTACGTCTGTCACTGTATATACAATTGATAGCGAATTCAGTTACTTGTACTACTAGATTAGTGCATATTAAAAGCAGTAGATGATGAATTAAAGTTACATGTAAAAGTATATAAATATTTTAAATAATAAAATACCCAATAATGATATTGTCATATTATTTAATGGAATATACATGTATTATTTGATCATTAAATTTGATCATATTTTATTGCATTTAAATACTTTATATAGGCCTAAAGATCCAAATAACAAAAATGTTAGCAGGATGTCGACAGACTGGTAGCAGATTTGATCAGAAGATGTTAATAGACTGATCACAATTGATGTTGCATTCTGTTCCTGTTCTGCCGATAGAATCTGTTAACATTCTATATAAACAGACTGGTAGCAGAAATCAAATAGAACCTGCTGACAGAATCTGTTAGCAGATTGTGAGCAGAAACTGAGCAGAAACTGAGCAGAGTCTG